TCTGTTTTTCAGATTGGTACTTTATTATCTATCGTCAACTCACTGATGGTCAAATTCACTGATTGTTCTCTCTGCTCCATTTTTCTGTTGAGTGCCTATTCATTGTTTTTAATTTCAGTTAATATACCTTTCAGTTCTTATATTTCTGTTTGGTTCTTTATGTCGCGTATTTTTTTTTTCTGTTGACTTTTTATTTCTTTACTTATTATTGCTTGTCAAAACATTTTCGTCAAAACATTTTCATAATGGCTAGTCAGATCATTTGGGTATCATTTGGGTATCTTTTTCATCTTGTTGGCATCTGTTGATTTTCTTTTCATTCAAATTGAGATACTCTTTATTAAAACTTGTACATTTGGGGCATTATAAGACTCTGGGTCTTATTTAATCTTTTCTTTTTCCTAATGTTCTCTGACAAAGCTCTAGTAGAAGAAGGACAAGGTTGCTGCCCTGTTATGGTCAGGTAGGGGTGGGAGTCCAGGTTCCCTTCATGGCCTGTATTACAGCTGAGGGAGAGAGGAGTTGTGAATACTCTCAGGGTTGGGTGGGTATGGGTGTTCCTGCTTGTCAGTAGGCCTCCACTGATAACACCCTGGCTGGGATAGGCAAGAATGTCTACTTACTGCTCCCCGCCTGGCTTCTGAAATGGGGCGGGGACCGGGGGAGCAGGGGGTTACCTCATTGCTGCTGGGCAGCTGTGAAAGCCCTGAGTGTCCTCTCTGCTTCCTCTGAAACCATCCTGGAAGGGCAGGGTAGGGACACCTCATTATCCTTGGATGGATGTGGAAATCCAGGCTACCCACTTGTTCTCTACTGACTCTACAGGGAAAGGTGGTCCTCATTACCTCTCAGCAGGGATGAAAGTCTGGCTTCCTACACCTTCTACCTCACCCTGGAGGGGAGACTGTGGTGCCTTGTTACAGCCTCACAGTGGCAGAAGTCTAGGCTTCCCATTAGCCTTGCTGGCATAGGGTTTTGTCAGTTCTTTTTACCTGAAGTAGATTGGCTATTATCTAAAAGTTTTGTTTTGGTTGTTTTTTTTCTTTTCTTAATTTCCTTTTTCTTTTTTTTTGGGGGGGGGGGCGGGGGAGTCTGGGATGTATGAGGCAAAAAAACACCTTACACAACTCACCACCTTGGTGTTCATTGAGTCCTGCCATACCTAGCTGGTCTGTCTTCTCTCCAATATTCAGAATCATGTTGTGTTTGTTTCATACAAAAAATTTAGGACTAAAAAAAAAAAAATTAAGACTTTTAGTTTTTCTTAGTGGGATGACTGTGGAAAAGTATTTCTCCATTTTTCCAGAACTAGAAGTTTTGTACTACTTTTTTAAAGTGATTTTTAAATGCTTATTTAAAAAGACATCAAACACTTGTAATGGTGATGAAACACCCCAGAAATAAATACAAACAACCAGATTTATTTACTTCTTTTTTATAAGTGGTTCTCTATAAGCAGACAAAATTAGTTCTCATGAGATGGTTTCTTGTTTATGTGGGCTGTCCCTTAGCAGTACTTTGTACAAAATAAAATTAAAAAAATGAGAGAAGCTGAGTAATGTGACAGGCTTCATGTGGAGTCAATTTTATGGCTTCTTCTTTTCTAAAAATGTTTTCAAAAACAAAAACCTAGCCCTGGCTGGTTTGGCTCAATGGATAGAACGGCAGCCTGCAGACTGAAGGGTCCCCGGTTCGATTCTGGTCAAGGGCACATCCCTGCGTTGCAGGCTTGATCCCCAGTAGGGGGCATGCAGGCGGCAGCCGATCAGTGGTTCTCTCTCATCATTGATGTTTCTATCTCTCCCTCTTCCTTCCCTTCCTCTTTGAAATCAATAAAAATATATTTTTTTAAAACAAAACAAAACAACCTGGCCTTCTATTTGGGCTTGTATGGTACTCTGGTGATACTATATGTGATTGTTGATATGTTTGTAGCAAATTCACATGTCATTTAAGTTACTAATTTCCTGTTATGGTGTCAGGGTTTGTTGTGGGGGTTTTTTTAAGTCAGCAACCTAAAAGCCTGCAAATATTAAGGTATTAAAGCAATCCTCTATACTAATAAAAGGGTAATATGCTAATTAGACCGGGAGACCTTCCAGATGTCCTTCTGGACAAAGCCATGGTGGCAGGGCCGAGGCAGAGGCAGTTAGGGGTGATCAGACCAGGAGGGAAGGGCAGTTGGAGGTGATTAGGCTGGCAGGGGCAGGGGGCAGTTGGGGGCGATCAGGCTGGTGGGGGGGCAGTTGGGGGCGAGCAGGCCAGCATGGGGGGGGGGCAGTAGGGGGCGAGCAGGCCGACAGACAGAGTGGTTAGAGGTGGCCAGGCAGGCAGGCAGGTGAGTGGTTAGGAGCCAGCGGTACCAGATTGCGAGAGGGATGTCCAACTGCCGGTCCCAGATTGGAGAGGGTGTAGGTCGGGCTGAGGGACACACACACACACACACACACACACACACATACCCGCACGAATTTCGTGCACCGGGCCACTAGTATAAAATAAAATATAATAGTAGATTCCACATAATTTCTAATTAAGATAATATTCTTTCTAAACAGAACTGTTTCCCATGGCACTATATTCTTAATGTACATTATTTTTGGCCTTTTATTTCTATTGGGCTGTTTATCCCCTTGTTACTTTATAAAATCTCTTTATATAATCTATTTATCAATCTTTTGTTTGTACTTTGACTTGTAGAAGTTCTTTCCAAATCTGTTATTTCTCTCTTGATTTGTTATTCTATCTTTTATCTTTTTTATAGCAACTGGGTTCCTAGTTAATATTTCCTCTTTCTTTAAATAGTACAGGTAGTTTTTTAGATTTCTCATTGCAAGATTTTATTGTTTTGGTATTAAATCAAATCACCTATCCACCTGGGATTTACTTATGTATGTGTCCCAGTTGTTATTTTTTCAAATGGATATTTAGTTGTGCCAGCATCATTTATTAAATCCATTTCCCACTGAATTTAAATATTTATAGGTTCTCTATTCTCATCCAGGATTTTGTCTCTTCCTATGCCCATAAATTTTATTAAGTTATAGTATATGCAAACACACACACACACACAGGATGGTAAAGATATGGTTATAAGGCTGTGTGATTTTGACAATAGTAATTAAGAATGGAGTTGCTTCTCAATGTTAACTCTATAATAAAAATGGGATTTAATGAAGAGGCCAGTTGATAACTAGCTACTGATAACTACCCCTGATGCTGCCAGATTAATTTTGCCTTTGTAAAATATTGAAAAGATAAATGTATTCCATTTTGTGCCAGGTAGTTTGATAGGGGATAATTTTTTTTCACATCAAACTTATGAGGTTAGATTTACCTATCTTTTACAGATCAGAAAATGATACTTGATCAAATAGTTAAGTTATTTGCCCAGTATTTAACTATTAGGTGGTAAACGTAGGATTAAAACACTAATGACCAGGCTTTTTCAATTGTGCCAGAAATGAAATGTTTCATGTACTAGTAAAGTACTTTTTCCCCAGTTTTTAAAAAATTTATTTTTAAATTATAGTTTACATTCAATGTTATTTTGTATTAGTTTCTGGTTTACAGAATAGCAGTTATATAATCATATACTTCACAAAGTGTTCCACCAATATTTCAAGTACCCACCTGGCACCATGCATAGTTATTACAGCATTGTTGACTATATTCCCTATGCTTTACTTTACATCCCTATCATAACTACCAATTAGTACTTCTTAATCCCTTCACCTTTTTCACCCAACCCCCTAATGGCCCTTCCTTATGGCATTCATCAGTCTGTTCTCTGTATCTATAAGTCTGTTTCTATTTTGTTTGTTCATTTATTTTATTCTTCAGATTCCACATATAACTGAAATCATATGGAAAGTACTTTGAAAACTAAAGATGTATACAAATTGATATGATGATTATATCATCATCATCTCATCATTAGCATCTCTGAGGATTTTTTTGTTTTGATTTTTATTTATTGATTTGAGAGAGAGAAACATCAATTTGTTGTTTCACTTATTTATACATTCATTGGTTGCTTTTTGTTTGTGCCCTGACTGGGAATCGAACCCACAACCTTGGGGTATCAGGATGATGCTCTAATCAACTGAGCTACCCAACTAGGGCCTCTAAGTTTTATGTTAAAACAATGTATATGCAGTGGAAAATGCACACTAAAACCTATAGCTAAATAGTTCGATGAAAAATAGGTGTTCTTTCAAGATATGGTCTATGAATAAAATGTTAAAAATTATTTCTGTTCTTTTAAACATTTGTTAGAGCCAAAGAAAGTTAAAGTAAAAAAACCAAAACCTGAATTTCCTGTGTATACGCCTTTGGAAAGTGCATATATTCAATCATATGATCATGGAACTTCTATAGAAGAAATTGAGGAACAAATGGATGATTGGCTGGAAAACAGGAACAGAACACAGAAAAAACAGGTAAATAAGCTTTTGAAATTTTATTTTGTGTCAAGTACATGCAGACAAGTACATTAAATATAGATATACAGCTACATATCTCAGTGAGCTCAGTGATCTATCACTAGAGAACCAAGTTAACCATTGCCAAGATCAAGAAATAGAACATTGCTATTATTCACAGTGGCCAAGACATAGAAACAACCAAAGTGTCTTTTGATTGACAATTGAATAAAGAAGATGTGGTACATATATGCAATAGAATACTACTCAGCCATAAGAAAAGATGAAATAGTGCCATTTGCCACAACAAGGATGGAACTTGAGAATATTATGCTAAGCATGCTAAGCAAAATAAGTCAGACAGAACGACTCAAGAATCATGATTTCACTTATAAAACTGAAGGGAACAAATGAACAAACAAGACAAATAAAAACTCATAGACACAGACATCAGTAAAGTGCTTACCAAAGGGAAAGAGGGTTGGGGGGGAAGGGGTGTTGTAAATTGTAAGTAGGGTCAAATATATGGTGACAGAAGGAGATTTGACTTTCAGTGGTAAACACACAATGCCATATGCAGATGATGTATCATAGAATTGTACACTGCAAACCTATATAATTTTATTAACCAACTAGAGGCTCTGTGCATGAATTCATGCAACAGTGGGGTCCCTCAGCCTGGCCTGCAGGATCAAGCTGAAACCGGCTCTCTGACATCCCCTGAGGGGTCCCGGATTACAAGGGCGCAGGCCAGGCCAAGGGACCCCACCGGTGCACAATCGGGGCCAGGGAGGGACACAGGATGTTGGCCAGTTGGGGAGGGCTCCAAGGCATGTCCAGCCAGTCTGCCTCATTCCTGATCAGCCAGACCCCAGCAAATCTACCAGTCGGAGCATCTGCCCCCTGACGGTCAGTGGACATCATAGCAACTGGTCGACTGCCCTCTGGTGGTCAGTGCACGTCATAGCAAGCGGTTGAGCGGCCTTAGCATATCGTTAGCATATTATGCTTTGATTGGTTGAATGGACGACCGGACACTTAGCATATTAGGCTTTTATTATATAGGATGTCGCCCCAATTAAAAAAGAGAGAGAGGGACAGAAGGAGGGTTGAAGGGAGGGGACATTTCCAATACACAGAAGCCTTACTCATGCTTCCTCCTTTGGCCCATGAGCCAGGAGGTCACAGTTTGATTCACTACTTTTCTTTTCTTCCAACTAGATAACTATTATCCTGACTTCTAACATCATAGATTAGTTTTTCCTATTGTTTGAAGTTTATAAATGGAATCATCCTTCATCATTTCAGACTGCTATAACAAAAATATAATAGACTGGGTAGCTTAAAGAACAAACATTTATTTCTCATAGTTCTGAAGATTGAAAAGTCCAAGATCAAGGCATCAGCAGCTTTGGTGTCTGGAGAGGGTGCTCTTCCTAATTCATAGACAGTAGTCTTCTTGCTCTGTCCTTATATGGCAGAAAAGGTGAGAGAACTCTCTGAGGTCTCTTTTATAAGGTCACTTATTTCACTTATAAGGGCATATCACAATGGGAGTTATGATTTGAGGGGAACACAAACATTCCATCCAGAATACATCCCATATGTAATCTTCCATCTACTTTCCTCTATTTAATATAATATTTGTGAGACTCATTCATTATTGTGTATAGCAGCGAGTTATTCATTTATATTGCTATATAGTAGACCATTTAGAAATTTATACAGGACAAATTATTTTTTTGTTGGAGATTTGCATTGTTTCTAGTTTTTGACCATATGAATAATTCTCTTGTGAATATTATTATACTTCTAGTACATTTTACAAAAAATGTAATTTCTATTTTTGTAGTTATGTTGCAGGGTCAACTTCAGTAAATAGTTCTAAACGAGTTTTTTTAAAATGTTTGTATCAATTTCTATGTAAGCATCATGATATGAAATTTCTAGTTACTCTACATCCTTGCCAATACTTGGTCAAGTCTTTTATATTTTAACCATTATGGTAAGTTATGTAGTGATATCTAATTATGTTTCAATTTGCATATTCTTTGATTAATAAGATTGAATTTATTAAACACTGGTATCCTCCTATACAAAGAGCCTTTTCAAGTCTTTTTGTACTAGGTTGCCTGTGTTTTTACATACTGATTTGTTATGAGTTCTTTTTATATTTCAGAAATGAGTCTTGCATATATTTCCTCCTTCTGGCTTGCCTTTTTACTGTCTTCATGGGATCCTTTTGGTGACCAAAATACCTAATTTTAAAAAACAAACCAATTCCTTTTTCTTTATTTGGTGTTTTTTGTGTTGTGTTTAAGAAATATTTTCCTATCTCATAATAAAGACTAGAGGCCCGGTGCACAAAAATGTGTGCACTGGGGGGGGGGGGGTCCCTCAGCCCGACTATGCCCTCTTGCAGTCTGGGACCCCTCGGAGGATGTCCACCTGCTGGCTTAGGCCTGCTCCATGGTGGATTGGGCCCAAGCTGGCAGTCAGACATCCCTCTGGCAGCCCGGCAGCCCTCAGGGGATGTCCACTTGCCAGCGGGGAGCAGGCCTAAGCTGCAGTCAGACATCCTTAGCGCTGCTAAGGAGGCGGGATAGGCTCCCACCACCACTGCTATACTGGCAGCCGTCAGCCTGGCTTGTGGCTGAGCAGAGCTCCCCCTGTGGGAGCACACTGACAACCAGGGGGCAGCTCCTGCATTGATTGTCTGCCCCCTGGTGGTCAGTGTGTGTCTAGTGACCAGTCATTCCCAGTCATTCTGCTGTTAGAGTCAGTTTGCATATTACCCTTTTACTATATAGGATAGAGGCCTGGTGCATGGGTGGGGGCCGGCTGGTTTGCCCTGAAGGGTGTCCTGGATCAGGGTGGGGATCCCGCTGGGGTGCTTGGCCAGCCTGGGTGAGGAGCTGATGGCTGTTTGCAACTGGTCACACCCCCTTCAGGGTGGGGGTCCCCACTGGGTTGCCTGGCCAGCCTGGGTGAGGGGCTGATGTCTGTTTGCAGGCTGGTCACACCCCCTTCAGAGTGGGGGTCTCCACTGGGGTGCCTGGCCAGCCTGCGTGAGGGACTGATGGCTGTTTTCAGGCTGGCCAAGCCCCCCAGCGACGGAAGCTCCCAGCCTCTCCTTTTTTTCTTTTTTCTTTTTTTATTCTGGGATTCATTTACCTTCTATAATTGAAACTTTGTAGCCTTCAGAGGAGCTCAGAGCCGGCCAGGGCGGGTGGGAGGGAAACCTCCTGCTCACTCCAGCTCTGTGGCCATGGCTGACTGAAAGCAGATATCTGGGGTTTATTTATCTTCTATAATTGAAACTTTGTTGCTTTGAGTGAAGCTCAGAGCCCACCCCGGCAAGCGGGGAAGCTTGGCTTCATCCATCATTGGGGCAACCAAGCCTCCTGCTTGCTCCAGCTCCGTGGCTGCAGGCTGCCATCTTGGTTGGGTTAATTTGCATATAGTTGTTCTGATTGGCTGGTGGACATGGCTTAAGGCATAGCGAAGGTACAGTCAATTTGCATGTTTGTCTTTTATTAGTGTAGATATTTTCACCCTAACTCAGTGGTTCTCAACCTGTGGGTCACGACCCCTTTGGAGGTCAAATGACCTTTTCACAGGGGTCGCCTAAATACATCCTGCATATCAGATATTTACATTATGATTCATAACAGTAGCAAAATTACAGTTATGAAGTAGCAACGAAAATAATTTTATGGTTGGGGGTCACCACAACATGAGGAACTGTATTAAAGGGTTGCGGCATTAGGAAGGTTGAGAACCACTGCCCTAGCTGGTTTGGCTCAGTTGATAGAGCGTCAGTCTGCGGACTGAAGGGTCCCGGGTTTGATTCCGGTCAGGGGCACATGCCCGGGTGGTGGGCTTGATTCCCAGTGAGGGGCGTGCAGGAGGCAGCCAATCAATGATTCTATCTCATCATTGATGTTTCTTTCTCTCTCTCTCCCCTATCCCTTCCTCTCTAAAATCAATAAAAATATTTTTTAAAATAAATAAAGATATTTTCAAATCCTTCTAGAAGTTTTAATACTCTACTTTTTACATTTAAGATCAGTTATCCCTGGAGTTTATTTTTGTGTTGGGTGTAAAGTAATGATCAAGTTTATTTTTTTTCCAAAATATTTTCATACCAATTTACCCAATACCAATTAATAAAAAGACTGCATCCTACAGCTCTACAAATATGTCTGTGTTTTCATAAAAGTGTCCATTACCATATGTTTCTATTGCCAGACTTTTCATTTTGTTTCACTAATCTACTTCTCCATCCTTGTGCTGATACCTTACAATTTTCACTACTGTGCCTTCATAATAGATATCTGGTACAGTAATTTCCCAGCTTTATTTTCCTTCTATAAGATTGCCACTTCATATTTTTGTATAAATTTTTAAAGTATCATTTTCCACAAATTATTCAGGTGCCATGTTCACTTAGAATTACATTGAGCATATAGATCCATTTTGAAAGAATTGGCATTCATACAGCATTGACTCTAAAACCCATGAGTAAATCCATTTATTTAAATCTTTTTAAAAAATTAACATATTGCAGCTTATTATGTGTACATATTACACATTTTTTCTTGGATTTATTTCTGGGTATTTAGTGGTTTTAGATGGCTTTGTGTGTGATTATCTTACTTAAATTTCACTTTCTACTATACTTGGTATATAGAAATACAGTTGATTTTTGTATCTAACAATCTTGCTAAATTTTTTAAAATTCTAATAGTTTCTCTGAATATTATGTGTGTGTTTTTTCTCTTTTGTGCTAAGAATCTCCAATACATGCAGAGTAGGAGTGATGATAGGCATCCTTGTTTCATTTTCAATCTCAAAAAAAAGCTTCATCTATAAATTTTTAATAATATTTTAAAATACATTTTTATTAATTTTAGAGAGAGGAAGGGAGAGGGATAGATATATAGAAACATCAATGAGAGAAATATCAATCGACTGCCTCCTGCATGCCCCCTACTGGAGATCAAGCCTGCAACCCA